AAGGTGAACCTGAGGAAAAGAGTGAAAAAGAAATTGAAATTATAGAAGGACAAGAAGAGGGTAATAAATCAAATAAGTCTGGATCAGAGGATGAGGTAAGCAACTCTTTAACAAAAAATAAACTAGATTTTATGTACGATTGTTATCCATAAAAATTATTTTAACAAAGCAGTCTGGTTTATAGAGAATTTTTTCAAGGTCCTACTGTACAAAAATTGGCCATATTTCTCCAAGCTTTCATAAGAGCCTCCATATTGTTTTTAAAATGTATCCATAAAGAAGGTAAGAAAATACTATAATTTATATCATCTTAATGCCTGATGAGAAACAGTATAAAGTGAGCCTGGGTTTTGCAAAATAGAGTTGCATCTGTAAAAAATTATGACTTTGTTAGTCTGTTGAAAATTATTATAAATAGACCATTTGAATATTTAAAAGGTAATTCTGTTTATTACAAGATAGTTTTCTTTATACCCATTATAAAAACATTCTCATGGTCTGAATAATTTATTGTCATATTTTGTAATATTTCATTCATTGGGTAGTTGAGTAGTATCTGCCTGATAGGGTATTTTTTCCTGAAATCATTAATAAACTAGTTTTCCCATTAACTTGATATGTCTACCCCTTTCTGCATCCTGATATATAACAGAACTTTCTACAGTGCCTCTTTTTAGTCTGTTATTCTGGAACCAGATGCCATCCAGGATATGATTCAGAACCAGAGCTTTCTCTTTTTACCCAGCATGTTTTATCTGCTAGCCTTAGGAGCTACGTGACCTTACCCCAGTCACCCTACTCAGCACCCTCTAGGCAGTGCTAGGCAGGGGAAAATCACAGTTTCACCTGGCCTCTTGCATATGATGATGTAACCTTGCTGTTTTGTCTCTTTGAAAAAATCTCTCACATAAATTTGTTTTATTGTTATTGTTTGTTTTCTAAAGCCTATTCAGTACATATACTTAGGTACTGGTCTTAATGCCTTGTGAGTTCTTAAAGGGACTTTGGGGGAACATTAGTATGAATATCCACATTAGAGGAAGCTGGGTGAAGATAATTTCTTCCAGGACAGAGTTTTAAACAGTCATTCTCTCACCTGTCACTCTGAATAACAATACTTACAGTCATTCAGTTGAATATGTGTCTGGTTATATTTTGCTTCACAAAACATTTTATGTACCTTTAAAAATATTTTAATTCTGTCTTTGTCTTTTAGTCTTCTTATATGTCAGCGGGCTAAAATAAGCCAACTTTTATATAGTATGACCTTGAAAAATAATTATAACTATTTTGTAGAATACCATATAATACCTTCATTATTTTATTTTGTTACACAAGTTTAATTTACATGTGAGTGCTTATTGGATAAGGAAAGAAAAAACCCAGACTATAAATTTGATGTTTCCCTTCCCTCTCTCCTAATTTTCTCAAAGTACTGTGTGTCATAAGTTCTGAAAAAGTTCCTGCGAGTCTAGCTCAGCAGTCCATTACTTATAGAACTATCGTGATGAAGTTAGTGCTTAATATCCCACAATGAAAAGATCATATAGCCTTTAATTAGCTATGACATTGAGATTAAATTCCAAATGATAAAATCATGAATTGAGTTGTTAGCAGTATTCCTTGTCAGAGGACTTTGATAAGCAGAGTTATTCCAAAAATGTAATCATGCCAAAGGGTGAACAAATTAAAACATGTTAACTTAAGTACACATTTTTGATCAGCTTCATGAATTAAAGAACACATATAAGGTAGCATTTGTTAGAACATGTATTTTTGAGAATAAGAAATTTAGTATTTACCCATTGTATGAAAACAACCATCTGCATCATTCTTTCTTCTAGATGAAAGAAGCGGATGAGAGCACGGGATCTGGAGATGGGCCAGTGAAGTCCGTACGCAAGAGAAGAGTACGAAAGGAATAAACTCTATTCAAG